CTTGGAAATGGATCTGTAGAAATTAACTAATTGAAAACAGAGAAAAACAGAGTAGAAAGTAAACACAAGAGTGTTAAGAGGTGAGGGACAATTCTGAAAGTCTAACACAATAGAATTGGGATCCCAGCAGGAGAAGCGAGAATGGGAGCTAAGTAGGGAGATGGGACAAGGGATCGTACTCTAGCTTATTCTCACGTCATTCCTGCTTTCCAGAACCACATGCCATCTTTGCCTCCTCCATGTTCCAGGTCTTTCAAGATCAGAGGCAGTCTGGTGCCGAGCGTCCAGAGTAAGCTTCGAGTCTTTGGGAAGTGAAGATAGTTGCTGGATTTTGTGCATGAGGGACGAGATCGGTGTTGTCTAAGTGCTGCATTTCATCTATTCTAAGGTATGCTTTGTAACATTTTTGAAGATAGTGTGTCTTAAAATTGATAGTGTCAATATAATAGATTTTTTCTTTCAATGATTAAAATAATGGTGGTGTGCCTGGGTGGCTCAGTTGGTTAAGTGTCTGCCTTTGGCTCAGGTCATGATCCTAGGGTCCTGGGATCAAGCCCCACGTTGGGCTCCCTGTTCAGCAGGGAACCTGCTTCTCCCTCTCCTCCCCACTTGTGCTCTATCTCTGTATTGCTCTCTCAAATAAATAAAATCTTAAACAAAAAACTAAAAAAAAAGGTACATCTTACAATCAATTACATCTTCAATGATGTTACTACTTTAAAAAAATTATTGTCAAACAGAAAACCACACAGAATAAATAGCTTATGTTATTATAAGGCTAACACTTTATGATATGGACAGCTTAATAAGCTATTATGTTATTATAGGACAAACCCTATTATACATTACACCCAAGTCATCAAATAAAACTTTGCTAGCCACTCCCAGAATCCCCCCATCTCTGTTGTTTTATCAGCAAAGGGTGCATCCCTAAATTATCTAGTTTAGTTTTGTCCATTTAAAGAAAAAATATGGAATTTCCCTCCTCACCCCTTCTTACAATTTATCTGTTGAAAATCCCAGCGTATGAAACCTGTGGCTTCCTGGTCTGGATTGTGCTATTTGCACATTTAAGCTCCACACATTCCTTTGTCCTCTTTGTTCCTGCATTTTGGCAGCTGGACCCAAAGGCATGATCAGACTCCCCTCCCATCCCTCGGCGAGACTATAGAAGATGCTTTCTTTCACTAGGAGGTATAACATGTCTGGTTGTCCCCTTTTGGAATATTAATGGCAGCTGACGCTCAACGTCTAAATCCATTAATCCACAAGGTGTTGCAAAATGGTGATATAATCGCATATCTTTTTCATTATTGGAACACCGAAAAGGTGTTTCCCCCGCTTCTGCTGTTTGGTTACCCAGTGGTACAGTCCAGAGGAAAGACAGGAAAATGTCCATTTCCCTATTTTCAAGATAATTAATAGGTGACCAATGCTCTTTAATGTTTATGATACGTTTCAATAGGTCGCAATTATCCTTTTTCAAGATCAAATCTAGCAATGTTTGGACCTGTTCAAGTTGGCTCTTACGTCTTTATGAAATTACACAGTAGCCCGTGATAACTTCTGTTCTAATAAGATATTCCAGGCTTTTCTGCTGTATTTCCTGCCAGACTATTTTTTTTTTTGCCAAGATGCTCTGGTTTCCTTTGATTAAAAAATGGTATTTTAAGACTATAAACTCAGTAATGCTTATTGGTACTGGATTTTTTCTATGTCTCTTCAGCGTGTATACATCTAGCATATATGTATAAGGAGTATATATGTGTATATATATATATATACACACATATACATATTTTATATATTCTTAAGTTTCTCCCACTACTTTCAATTCAAATTCATAACTACAGGGATTAAAAAAAAATAACCCACATCTGCACTTCCTCTTTCCCACATCAAGAATCCTGGTTCTCAAGAAAACTGGGAATGAATTAAAATATCCCATAAATGTCCATTTATTCTACCCCACATTAATATGCCCAAGTCTAAATAACACTATCAGACTACCACCCAGCTAAGCCAAGTATTTCTGCATTTGCTTTCCTTTTTTCAGTTGTACTCTGTCATCTGGACATACAGGCATCTTATACCATACTGTCTTGTAACTAATTTTTAATTGTACAGGGCTACTATGTTTAATGCCCACCACTAGTCTTTATGGTGCTATTTCTCTAGTTATTTTGGTTTTCTAATGGAGTTCATTTTCTGATAGATTCCTCAAGAACAGTTTAAGGGAACACTATTTCCCAAATTCTTGCATTTTCCCTTGAGTATGTTCAAAATGTTACTCCATTTTCTTCAAGCACAAAGGATAATTGTGGAAAAGTCTGATGATCATCTAAATTTTTCCTTGTCACTTGCTGTTTTTGCCTACCCCAAGGATTTCTTTTTTAAATTAACTATGTTAGTCTTGGTGTTGCATGTTTTGGATCAATAATCTTGGGTACAAGAGTGCACTTTTGAGGGGCACCTGGGTGGCTCAATCAGTTAAGTGTCCCAACTCTTGATTTCGGCTCAGGTCATGTTCTCAGGGTTGTGAGCCCTGTGTCAGGCTCCGAACTCAGCGCGAAGTTCACTTGAGATTCTCTCTCTCCCTCTGCCCCTTCCCATGCTTACATTTTCTCTTCTCTAAATAAGTAAAATGTATTTTTTTTTTGAAAAGTGGTCTTAAAAAAAAGGTTCAAAATTTTAATTAGTAAAGTTTTCTGAAATGATCCTTTTCCCCTTCAGACTATTATCTATATAATGGAACGTCTGTCCCTATCTTCAATATTTACTTCCTAATCTTTTTTTTCTTTTGTTCTAATTTTTTACCTCCTATCTTTTAAGGCATTATCTCTAGTATTTATTTGCTTGTATTCCTTCTGGTTTAGCTTTCACTTCCGAAATGTTTATTTTTAATGCTTATTCTGAGTTTACCTTAAGTTTTCCCAGTTCTAGATTTCCTCCATATTCTGTATCATTTTAATAACTTTTACCACATTTTCAAATGGACTGTTTTTCATCTGCTCTGTGGGCCTTTTTGGTAGATTTTCACTATCTATAAAGATGTTATTCTGCTCTTTTTAAGTGAACATCTTAAGAGATTGATCTAAAAGCTTTTTTTTAAGTAAAATTAGTTTTCTTTGAGAAGGAAGCATAGTTCATGGGAGCTTCTTGAACATCAAATTTTTTAAAAGATTTTATTTATATATTTAGAGAGGAGTGGGGGCAGGGTCAGAGGGAGAGATAATCTCAAGCAGACTCCCTGCTGAGCAGGGCTCCGATCCCAGGACCCTGAGATCATGACCTGAGGTAAAATCAAGAGACAGCTGTTTAACCAGCTGGGCCAGCCAGGGGCCCCAAACGTTTCTAGTGTTCAAAGACGGTATTTTGCTGAGACTTCTGGCTGACCTGTTCCTCCTTCTACTTGTATTTCAACCTCTTCTCCTTTGCTTCTCTTGTCCCTGTCCTGCTCAATTTTGGTTTTCCTCGCACTAGTTTCTCTTCTGTGGGGGACCCCATCCCAGGAACCTTGGCCAACTCAGCAGATCAGTTCCAATAGTTCACATGGACCAGACCAGCCAGTTCCTTCAGATGCCCCTTGTGCTCACTCACGATGGGAATGGGAAAGCCTCTCCCAGGTCCAACACCACTTGCTGTGTGTTTTAATGGCTATTCTAACGTTCTGTTCTCAGGTCCAGTCGATGCCCTATTACCTTCCTCTGCTTTTCCATCTTGTGGAATTGTGGCTGTTGGTGGCTTGTCTTCACCCACTTATATTTTGTGATTTAAGAATACCGTCACCGAAATTTGTTGTACAGCTATTCACAGGTTTTTGGTTTTGTTAACCAGTTGCTGTTACGTGGGGATTTGGAGACGGGAAAACTATGGCCCTGCTGCCATCTTCCCCTCCTCCCCTACGATTTTTGAAGGTTTTCAGCTAGTTCCATTTTCAGACTCAGCTCGGGCCCCTGGCTTCGGAGGAAGCTGCGTGTGTCCATTTACTGAGCCCATCTAAACGTCTCCTTCCTGTTGGCTTCTACCGCTGCAGAACTGATCATTTTTTTGCTAAATCACTTACAACTTATCCCTCTGTTTCCTTGCCTGATGTCTCTTCCTCTGTTAACCTTTATGGATTTATACTGTTTTATTCCTTTTCTGTCATTTAAGTGGCATTTTCAGTGGGCGAGGAGATAAGCATTTGTAGACACTGTTGGAGTCACATTCTTAATTTGTTCCAGAACAGGAAACATTCATAGAGAGCTCGAATTTGCTTGCATTCTTTGGGTCTTTTTCAGGTTGGTTTTTATTTCTTTTACAACTTTTATGCTGTTTCTTACAATTTGTTTTTTGTTCCGTTCTCTTTATCCAGGAGTCTTCTATCAAGTCTTATTTAAAAATTAAAATACTCTGGGATCCCTTTACTTTATCCTCTGTATCTCAGGTAACACCTTTGTCTCCAGCCAGATCCGTCCTTCCTTACCTCCCCCCTCCCCTACCCCTCTCATTCCTCCCTCCCAATATTCACTGGCATGGCTGGTTCTCTTTCCAGGTCCCTGCCTATGTCTTTGCAGAGTGTACACATCACCAACCCTGACGCTTTAGGATCTTGCATCACACCTAAGACCCTAGTTAAGGGATTTTCAGTCCACACTTTAAAAAAGACATAGTGGGAAAAACAGGCTATTTTGAAGTTTAAGAATATTAACAATAGAAGTAGCTCTTTCCACAGGAGGCTGAAAGCAGTTTTCCTTCACTGTCAATCCATAACCCAAGCAAACCTTCAGAGATAACAGAGCACTGTGCCATGTGGGCAGCGATCTTTGACCCTTCCAGCTATCCCTCCCATGCCAGCAACTTTATTTTCAATTCAACCCTGAAAGAGACAGGAAAGGGCAGGGGGTAACACTTAAAGCTTGAGAAATAGTGATTCCCTCCAGGATAAAAATGATTACAGAATTGTGGCTTTTCATTTACCATCCTTATACTTGACAACATGACAGAAATCTTTATAGAGTAGGTTTTTATCAATTCCAGGGGACTTGCCCCAAACCATCAAAACTTCCAAAAACTGTCAAAAATAAAATGATTTCTCTACTTAGCTTATGAAAATATAAAAAGCTGAACAAAAGAAATAATTACATAGTTAATATACAAAATGTACGCTATTTAAAAAATGGCATATGTCTATGAATAAATCTTTCAGTCTGGTAATTGATGCATTCTCAAACAGCACTTCAAATTGATATTCTCTTGCAGGCAATAGCCTCCCAGCTGTCTGCATTTATTGGAATATTGCTCTCTGAACACGCAGGCATTCAGATTTGTTAAATATATCCTCTTCTGCTTCTGGAGTTAGTTGGATGTTATCTTTGACTGGCGACAGGGGATCCGGCTTCTTACAAGAAGGCAGCTTTTCAGAATCTCTGCAAAATATAATAAAATGAATTGGTGTTTTCAGGGTACTAATTATAGAGAATAGTCTACCTAGACCGAAGAGAGGTATATAAAGAGGAAAAGACCTTTCAATTTGTCCTAATTTAATATATGACACGTTCAGGTCTCCTCTGAGTATCGCAATAAAATTTGAGTTTTGCTTCTTAGCTCCCCTTTCTGTTTCCTAAATCACCTTTCGAGGCAGGTGCAAGGCCACTACTAAACGTGTACTAGCTGAGGCAGAATGAGTCCAGTAAAGAAACTTCAGTCCCTTTCTCCCTGGCACGCTTCTCGAGGCTGGCTAAGCACCAACCTAAGTGACGCCTGAGTCAGGTTTAAGCCCTGTGTTATACTCCTCCCTCCCCCCAACTTATTTTTTGGCTGGAAGGGAGCTCCAGGTCTATAAAAATTCATCCTGTTATGAAGATAACACAGGTAATTCTATCGCCTGTCAACAAAGTAGTCTTATTTTCTAAAAGGCACTATTTTTTTTTCCTAAAAGGCATTTAGGCATACTTTTTGTATCCTCAACTTCTCTTCAGTGGCAGTTCTCAAAGTATGGCCCACAGGCCCCTAAAAATTTCCAAGATCCTTTCAGGGGGTTTACAAGATTAAAACTATTTCATAATAATATTTAGACTTTATCTGCTTTCCACTGTGCTGACATTTGTACTGACGATCCAAAAGCAAAGCTGAATCAAAGCGACTGGCAACTCAGCACGAATCAGGACACTAGCCCCAAACTGCACAAGAAATACTAGCAGCACTTGTATTCTCCAGCTCCATGTACTTGCAGTTAAAAGAAAAAAGTTAGTCTCACTTAAGAACGTTCTTGATGAAGTAGTAAAAATCATTCATTTTATTTAAATCTCAACCCTCTCAACTTCTTAGTACTATATGACAAAATGGGAAATACAACATGAGGCATTTCTGTTGGTAGTGAAGTATGATGGTTATCTCAAGTGAAAAAGCATGTGCAACACCATGGTTATTCAAATTTAGTTATCTGGCAAAGGGCTTCTCTAAAATGAACAAAGAGGGCACCTGGGTGGCTCAGTCAGTTAAGTGTCTGCCTTCAGCTCAGGTTATGATCCCAGGGTCCTGGGATCGAGTCCTGCATCGGGCTCCCTGCTCGGCGGGGGTCTGCTTCTCCTTTTACCCCCTACCCACCCTGCTCGTGTTTTCTCTCTCTCAAATAAATAAATAAACATCTTTAAAATAAAATAAAATACAAATAAAATGAACAAAGAAAGCCGGTTGTTACCCCCAAGGAAACAACTAACAGGATTTGTTGCCAACTATAAAATTCAAGCTTTCAAGTGAAAGTCAGAATTTTGGATAACCTGTATCTGCCACCTGACAGCTTCTCAATACTTAAAGACTTTCTGATAAAACTGTGGTTTCTTTATATTGTATAATGAAATGTGTCTACATTTGGAAGATAAACACAACTCAACAAATCAACATTTTCTAGATGACCAATGCATGCGGGAGTAAAAGACACACTCAAGGTGCACTACGGACGGACAGACTGTAATGAAACACAGAATATGAGAAGTCAGTTGACTTGGTTTCATATCTGATATTGTAACTAACCTTTAAGAAACCATCCCTTGTTGAATGTTGGTATAATAAAGTAGAAAATTTACAGCTAAATAAAAAGTCTATTAAATATGTTTCCCAACTACAAATATGTGTGGAGCCAGATTTTCTTCCTATACTTCAACCAAAACAACCTATCAAAACAGATCAAACACACAAGCAGATGTAAGAATCCAGCTCCGTCCTATTAAACCAGTTAAGATTTGCAAAAATGTATAAAAAAGTCACTCTTGTCACTTTTTTTTTTTGTTTTGGAAAAGTTATTTTTTTGTAGCAATATACTATTGATTTTAATATGGGTTTGTCATTGTTATTTAAACATGTCTATTTAATTTCTAAGACAGTTAAATATTGACAGGTATAACCCCACATAAACCAAAATATTTTGGGGCCCCCAGTAATTTTTAAGTGTAAAGGGTGCCTGAAGGCAGATATTTGAGAACTGCTGCTATATGGTTTAATCCTAGACTTTACACAATGCAAAATAAAAATAATTGTGTCCAGCACTTATTTACAAAGTGTTTCTGCTCAGATCATCTCATCTGATTGTGACAACATTTCTATTAAGCAAGGTTTAATCCCACCACCCATGTAACTTTCCCTCCTCTATTCTTAGCACATTTGCTTTATTGAGAAGAACAAGGGAATAAATTAATTATAAATCGTGGTACTCTGAGACTAATTTTGTAGTTTAATGGAAGGAAGTACTGTGTGGCTCAAAAAAGGTAAATATACAGAGGGTCCGCTCTTTTTTATTTATTTTTTTAAAGATTTTATTTATTTATTTGAGAGAGAGAGAATGAGAGAGAGAGAGCACAAGAGGGGGGAGGGTCAGAGGGAGAAGCAGACTCCCCGCCGAGCAGGGAGCCCGATGTGGGACTCGATTCTGGGACTCCAGGATCATGACCTGAGCCTAAGGCAGTTGCTTAACCGACTGAGCCACCCAGGTGCCCAAGGGTCCGTTCTTTTAAAACAGTGTTTGTTCTAGGGCGCCTGTTGTGGCTCAGTCATTAAGCAGCTGCCTTTGGCTCAGGTCATGGTCCCAGGGTCCTGGGATTGAGCCCCGCATCGGGCTCCCTGCTCCGCGGGAGGCCTGCTTCTCCCTCCCCCACTCCCTCTGCTTATGTTCCCTCTCTCACTGTCTCTGTCAGATAAATAAATAAAATCTTTAAAAAAAAAACAACAGTGTTTGTCCCATACATTAGAAATCTGGCACAATCATCACATATGCTCAGTGATTTTCCCCATTTCAGATGTGATGATTTAGGGGAACAAATTGCTTTAAATCTAGGAATATGATAGAGCATTACATTCCCACCCTCGTGTCTAAAACAACTTTATTTTCAATACAATCCTGAGAGACTAGTAAGGAAGGAAGCCAAGACACTTAGGCCAGAAAAAGTCACTTGCTTAACAATAGACCCTGGCAGACCAAGAACTGTGGCTTTTTAATTTGTCATCTTTTCACTAAATGAAGGTATAGACATTGAAGTTAAATATACTTAAGAAGAGTCAGCTAAAGAGAATAGACGAAAATAATTCTCTTAGGATAAGGGAAAACAAAATTGACTCCTATGAAAACAGAAAAAATTGGAGAAAAGTGATAGAAATTATAAAAAAAAATTTATCCTTAGAGTAAGTAACAAGGCAACTCACTTTTTAAATCCAAAATTTTTCCAGAGCTCATTGATTTTTATCTGCAATCCTGGCCTGTTCTCAGCATTATGATGATTCCTCTTCTGGATGCTCGATGGCTTCTTGCTGAGCCCACTGACTCGGGCAGGAACTAGAGGCTTGATCTTGGTTGTAGAAAGATTGTCCACAGAATTAGATTTATACAGCCCAGGAACCTGAAGAGTAAATGCCCCTTTTAATACTGTTTTGTTCAAGCAATGACCTTTAGTTAATTTCGAACTACTCTCTGCACATTAAAATAGAAATGTAACCAATAAACGTAGTGTAAAAATGTTTTTTTCACTTAGTATGTTTTGATTGGATAGTTTTCCTTTTCACATGTAGAAGTGAATTTTGTTTTAAATAGGTTGTTCAAACAGATCTCTACTGACATTTAGCTTTCTATCCAAGGGTTGATTTTTATCCTGTGGGAAATATGGAGCCATCAACGTTTTGTTGTTGTTCTTTATGACAGTAAGAGTGCGGCATATAAAACAAGGCTTTCAAATTGATGAAGTTGCCAGAGGAGGTATAAAGAACGGGAACGTTCACACATTAAAGATGATATCTTGACGGGGTGTTGGTGAGGGGAAAAGGGAGAGAGCGAGAAACAAGACAAAGAAAGAAACATTAGAATTTGGATAGGTTCAGATGTGGGGTTATTTCTCTTTACCCCCTGCAGAAGAAGGATCGAATTGGCAGTTATAAAGAAAAGGGACCCGGGCTGCCTGGGTGGCTCAGTCGTTAAGCGTCTGCCTTTGGCTCACGTCGTGATCCCAGGGTCCTGGATCGAGTCCCACCTCGGGATCCCTGCTCAGCGGGAAGCCTGCTTCTCCCTCTCCCACTCCCCCTGCTTGTGTTCTCTCTCTCGCTGTGTCTCTCTCTGTCCAACAAATAACATCTTAAAAAAGAAAAGAAAAAAAAGAAAAGGAAAGAAAAGAAAAGAAAAAGGACCCTAAGATTTTGAAATTAAATGACAAAGAGAATAATATAATGTTAGGTAGATGAAAAAAAATATTCTGAGAACTGGTTTGAGGTATAACAACAACAACAAAAAAGGTGAGTTTCATTTTGAATAAAGATGGATATTGGGGAGCAAGAGGGAAAGTCCACCTGGGGAGTTTTCACCAAAACAGAAGTGACATTTAAAACCCTGACAAAAACTCTGAGAGCAATAACAATAATAATAAAGATGACGAAGACGACGGTTTAATGTCGACGTAACTTCTTTTGGGAAAGTACTTTCTACATCTCCAGTCCTATTTGTCACTGCAAATAATTTTGGCATCTTTTCAGACTTTTTACTATGATTATATAAACATACACAGTTTGCATGAGTATTTTGAGTATTTAAGCAAAAATACCACACCATACATACTGCTTCATGTTCTTCCTCTTTACTCAAAAATAATATGGACACCCTTCCAAGGCAGTGTAGGTCTGAAAAAGCCTTTTGCACACAAAGATTTTAAAAAGAGTCTTATATTTACATATTCTACATTTAAATCTTTAATATATTTAGGATTTATATTTGCATAGCATGAGACGAGGATCTTTTTTCAAATGGATATGCAGACCATTTACTGAATTTTAAAAAAGTTTTTATGCTGTTTAGAAAAATAATGTGTTCACTATGGAAAAACATGAGAAAACAAGAAAAAATTCACCTGTACTCCCACCACCTAAGAGCTAAAACCAATTATGTATTTAATAGTTCACTCCTTTATTTTTAGATAGGCTATTTGCAATTTTGCACTATTGTAACCAATGCAGGATAAGTATTCCTGTACTTAAACTCTTTATTTCCTTAGACTCGAGTTTTAGAATGTACTTATGGGGCTGAATTATTTAAACCCGTTCAAATTGCTTTCCTGAAATTGCAGAGCAATTTATACACAATTAATTTGTGATTATTTTCTCACTATACACTTATAAAAATGAGTAATTAAAATTAAAAATATTTTTTGAAAATCTGAGAGGTAAGAAATTACATTTCATTATTTTAATTTGCATTATTTGACTACTAATGAGGTTACACATGTTTTTATATACTAATCAACCATTTCTACTTTTTCTTTTATACTGTTTATATCCCTTGTGCATTTTTGAGTTAGAAATGAGCATTTTCATATTTGCAGGCAAGAACATTTAATAAAATACATAAAATATACTTTAACTGGTGAGCTTTCACTATGCAGTCATGGAAATATTTATATATTCTGATTAAAAAAAAACCTGGCTTGTTGGATATTCAGTTTCTAGAAGGTCTTTTGGCAACATACGTCAAAGGTTTAAATCATATGGACCAGTAATACCAGCCCATGGAATTCATCCCTATGAAACAATCAAAAATGGTATACAGATATTTATCCACGAGATCTTGAATGCAGTACTATCTACTACAGTAAAATATGTTTAGGGTAAATGACAAATGTAAGGGAATTAGCTAAACTCATACAATGGCATATTGCTCAGTTGTTACAAGTAATCCATAGAAGCACATGTAAAAAAGACCTGCAAGAGAAGATAAGGGTTTCACAACTTCACCACCTACAATCAGGTATAAACATGGTCCTAAAAGGATTGAAAGTAGGTGTTTTTCCTATAAATAAAAATATAGGCACTTTAATTTTTAATTTTGTTGATATTCCTCAGTTTCTGGTAATAAACATACACTGCTTCTGAAATTAAAAAAAAATTAAGTGTTTGTTTTTACCTTGTTTCTTAGAAGTGTGTCTTTTTTCAAAAACTGAGATAAACGTAGCTTGGATTTCGGATTACCTTGATTATCAAGTGACTTCATATTGTAGTCAGATTCCTAGATTCCCCCAGATTAAAAAAAAAATTAGATTTTGACTGTGGATTCTTTATGACAACTAACCCATATTCAACAAAACACGAAACAAGTGAAACAAGAAAATCAGTATAAATAAAAAATGTAATTTCTCAGAAAAGTATGAAACACGAAACATACTCAAAAGTATGAAAAGAAAATGAATCGAAGTGGAAATGGTGTTTGCCAGCTTTCCCCAAGTTTCACTGAAGAAACTAGCAAGATGCTTTAGCTAAAGGAAATTGCATAAAATAAAGGATCTGTTTAAATTTGAAGGCTTTCCGGGGCGCCTGGGTGGCTCAGCTGGTTAAGCGACTGCCTTCGGCTCAGGTCATGATCCTGGAGTCCCGGGATCGAGTCCCACATCGGGCTTCCTGCTCAGCGGGGAGTCTGCTTCTCCCTCTGACCCTCTTCCCTCTCGTGCTTTCTATATCTCATTGCCTCTCTCTCTCAAATAAATAAATAAAATCTTTAAAAAAAAAAAATAAATAAATTTGAAGGCTTTCCTAACCCTTTCAGGAGCCTGTCAAAATGCTGACTCAAGTAAGACAAGTCTCCTACCGCAACGTTACTGGTTTACCCAAGCCCAGCTGATAGTTTTCATAAATTACTAGCTACAAAAAGTTGAACCAGAATAGTCACATCTTTTAATTGGGTAACGTGTTCAACATTAAAGAAAAAAAAGGGGGGGGATCTACTTTGAAGAAGTAGAGTAATACTGTGTCAAATGCAGTTACTTTTCACAGTGACTTTGAGATCTCGCCTCTGGCTATCCCATCATGTAGAGCTTTTCTATAGACAGAATAATCTGGCTTCCCACAAAAGTCACATAAAAAAGGACAATGAATGAAGATTCAGAAGACTTTACATTTCTGCATTCTTCAAGAGGATTTAAAAAAACTTATCTTGCGATTCTTTACAGTATTATATACTTAAAAAAATAATCCTGAAGTGAAAACTCCATTAACTGGCTTGTAACTCACAGAAACTCCAATATTCCTCACTCATAGCTAACAGTTGTGGTGACTCTGGGATGAATCATTTGTTTCTTTTTCTTTCTTCTTTTTAAGTGTAGTCGACACATGTTAGTTTCAGATGTTAAATTTCTTAAAATAAAGGTCATGAGTAAGGTCCTAAGATTAATTTACCTCAAATAGGGTCAATGAACTCAATACACATAGAATCTATAGTTGTTGCTTTTCACAGTCAACTACCAATGGAAGGCTCCACTAGAGAAATATTTTCTTCACAGAGCCATCCGGTAAAAACTAATGTTAAAAATGAAGCCCAATAGTATTGTGGCTTTCTGAAACATTTTCTGAATCAAAGAAAGATTAATTTTATGTTACCTGTTAGTGTTCTGATTCTTTGAGAATTAACAATTTATTTGTCCTAACAGGAGTTTACTACATCTGGTGGCAAGAGATACAAAAAATGGTTATCCAGAATTCAGAAATGTGGAAAGTTCCATCAGCATGCCCAGTCCACAGCCTGTGAGTTAGGAAGGCTTCTCAGCAACACATGGCTAAAAGCTTACAAAATGAGACAGGAAAAGCCTGCTGGAAAAAGGAAAAAGAATATCCTGAAAGAGCTCAGCAGAACTGAGAGTATTCTCATAAACTGGTGGTGATGTTTTTATGAAAGATGTTCAAGACAAAGCAGCTGTGGCGGCACCCGCATGGGGCCAAGAGCAAATGCAGTGTGAAGCACAAAATGAAAATGATGGTATTAAAATGGGGGCTTATATTAAAAGAAACAGGGGGTTCCGGACCAGTATGGATGAACTGAAGCCAAAGCAAGTGAAAGGAGAAAGAAAAGCCCAAGTCTCAAAGGCTGCCCCCACTCTTCAAAAAACTCAAACACCACATGGAACAGATTTTGGATTCAATATATTAACTGATTTCAGCTTTCTCCAAGTGAAAACAATTTGTTCTGACATTTTAGGTTAGTTTTTCTCTTCAGTTTGAATCCAGTACAATTCATGTTTCCTTTGGGAACCTGAATAAAGTATTTTCCTTTTGATAAATATAAGCTATTCTGATTTATTACTCTTCAATGTTCGGGATTATCAAAATTCTGTCAAATAGTACCATGGCTATAATTGTTCTTACAACTTCATAATTGGAGTTGGTGAAGATAAAATGAAGTATGTTATACTGGCAAGTCTGAGGTGACTCAGATGTAAAGGAAGCTACCGTGCCATTTTAAAATAGAACCGTCACTGGAGCTTATGAGCAGTACTTATTTGAAGTTTTGATTTAGATCAGACTAAAAGGTATTTTATAAATAAGGAAAAAAATGGTTAGGATGCTTTTATTAACTTAAAACAGAGTAACAAAGTCACATGTACTACTATTTTGTTTTGTTAGAAGGGGAAGCGTAGCAAGAATAAGAGGAATAAATGAAAACATATTTTTAAGTACTAAAGCTTAAGATGAACACCAGCAAATTAATAAGGCCATTTCCTTATAAGGTTTCAAATGTTATCTGAATTCAAGAGAATATTAAGGAAATAAATACTAAATGTATTATAATGTATCATTCTGCTTACGTCTTAACTGCGCACAACTTGAGATACCTATCGATGGAGCACATAGTGACTTAGGAAATACAGGGTTAGATTGAATGTGCAAGAGTTTAAAATATGAACATTCGGAGAAGTCCTTAAGATGGATAGAATGTTAACTTTCTACAAGTAAGATCTAGAATAAAAAATTAAGACCGCCAATTATTTCCAAAACGTGGGCAACATTTCCCCAATTATCTGCTTAACATCCTATTTCCTCTTCCACATGGATTTGAAAACAAAGGCTTCATAATGTGACTTACCTCTGAATCCGAATCCTTACTAGAAGGCTGAGAAAGTTTTGATGCATTCAAATTGTGTGGCGATAATTCTGCGCTTTCCTGAGACTGTGGAGAGCACCCTGCTGGCTGTAAGGGAGGCGCTTCATCACCTGACCCATCGCTCTTTAACTGAGACACATGGGACACTTCCCTCCAGCCAGGCGGGGCCGCAGGGGGGTCAGTCCGTCTCCGGAACTGCTGCAACGCTGTGTGTGGAGAAGAGCTTGGCGAAGGGCTTGGAGTTCCTGAAAAGTCTCCAAGACTCCCAGACCAACTAAAACAATTTCTGAGTGTGCCCAGAGTGGGTGGTGAAATGGTCCTGGTGAACCTACTGGTCTCAGAAGACTGAGACTCACTGTCAGTCATCACGGCTCCATCACCTAAAGTCAGATCACCTGAGCTACGAGCTACGTCCGACCCAGCCGGCTTCTGGCCATCTATGCAATCTGACTCACTTAGACTGGTCTCTTTCTGCGTGACAGCACCTTCCTCTAGGGGCTGGCTGCTTGCTTCCCCTGATACACAGTCGTTAGAATCCAGAGCACTGCAAAAAAACCTGCCAGAAAAAAAACAACAGAAAGAACCTATAAATATTCTAGAGTTTTGCCACAAAGGTGGTTAAGATTCAGGAAATGAAAAATGGTCTAGATTCTTCCAGAAAAATCTCATGAATACATAATTTCGTAAATAAAGATAAAATATTTTGAAAGCTTAAATTTTGGTTATACCAACATTGACACATTTAGAAATTTATTTATACAATGAATTTGTAGATAGGATTTCCTAAAAGCAGTCCTCTCTACATACATTACTTGGAACGTGCATATTTTATCTACACCTAATCGTCACATAGGTCTTTCCCCTCTAACCTTTATTTAATAAACTCCCAGACAGACTAGAAGCTCCCTGAGGACAGGTACCATCCACAGCACCTACACTAGTGGCTAACACATGGCTGACAGTCAAATATTTGAAGAGTTACGGAAATATGCAACAGAGGGGACAATTTACAACTACTGTCTCTTATTTTGTAAAAGCAAAATAAAAGAAATTAGCCACTTACTCTTTATCTTAGCTTATTTCCTAGTAGCAAATCATCTGGGAACTTGTAGTGGTACGTACTCTACCGGCTTTTAAAATAAATACCTTATAAACTTTTACACTATTTGAAGTATTGAGGTTATGACTTTCATATCTATCATAAGATTCTGTATTAATAAGAGGTATTACTTAGTGTGGCATCTTTAAAAAGTCACTTATAAACACTCCAATACAAAAGAAAGATCGGTATCATTATGGAGAAGATGTACTCAGAGAATTTTGAGGTTAAAAAGGAAATTCTCAGGGACACCTGGGTGGTTCAGTCGGTTAAGTGTCTGCCTTCAGCTCAGGTCATGATCCCTGGGTCCTGGGTTTGAGTCCCGCATTGGGCTCCTTGCTCAGAAGGGAGCCTGCTTCTCCCTCTGCCTGCCACTCCCCCTGCTTGAGCTCTCTCTTTCTGACAAATAAATAAAATCTTTAGGAAAAAAAAAAAGAAATTCCCAGGGTATATGACCAGATAAATATGAAACCTAAAGAGAATTTACCTCCTTAATAAGCATTAGTTCAAATCCAAAATGATAAACAGAATATTTACTACATGCTGGAGGGTAAAAATCCCCTCTGTCCTTTATCAAATCCCCGGCTGAGGTGTGGATACAGGGCAGGAAGGAAGCAGTCCATGGAAGGACAGGTCTTACTAGGCTATTCACTAAGCACAAAACAGGAGCTCCCAGGTCTGATCACATCATTCATTTTTAAGTAAATAAGAACCCCTATGATACCCAAAGAGTCTTCCAGGTAGGATTTCACGGGTAAGAGAAGTTAATAGTGACAGTGCCCAAGGTTATAAAATTAATCAGCTAGAAAGCAGAATTAAAACCCAGAACACCCTCCCAGATCAGGGCTACTTCTTCCCAATTAGCCTACAGTGTTGCTTAACTGATATTTCTATTTCTAGGTCTCAAAAGATAAACTGGAATGTTTCTAGGATAAGTATCTATGTAATAAAGAAGAGTTAAAGCAGACTTCCAAAAAAGCAGATGGGATGGAGACAACCTTTGGCATATTTAATAGCTTGTGTTGCATTACATTAATGTAGCGGGTGATATTACATTAAATATAAATCACATTATGGGGAGGTGATAATAAATTCTTGCATATACATTAGTGACTGGGCACTGTGTCAGATGCTTGATCTACTTCTGCTCGTCTCCAGAACAGCTTCCAGTAGCTGATCATCCATATTTTATGAAGAAATAGGTTCAGGGTAATTCAGTGGTGTGTGAAAGATCCCTCAACTAATTCAATGACACAGTGAGAATTCATATCCAGGCCAATGAGACTGTTTGCTCCTTTCAACCCACCGCACTGATGAGGACTAGGAACCTCTGGGTCCATGGTACTAACTACACCACCCGGGGAAAGTTGTTTAACCTCTCAGAACTTCAGTGTCTTAACCCAAAATAGAGAAAAAAACAGCGACCCTGACTATCTCATAATTTTGCTGTGAGGAATAGAGAGTGTATTAAACAACTTCAAAAATTAGCTAAGAAAACTAATTTAATCATATCTAGTTATTGGATGTTGCTATACCACCCAGGTCAGAAAATCCTACATCAAGGACTTACAATTATTATTTCACAGGAAACTGATGGAGGAAAAAAAATGCATTTCTCCAAGGATCCCTTAACAATTTATCAGTGACACATCTGCCTAAACTAGAGTGGAGATGTGCAGCTTTGAACGGGTATCTCATTAAACTTGGGTGGTGACCAGGCCAGTGCTGTGGACATCAGCAAACATGGCCCTCATCAGCTGTCCTCAGAGAAGAGCTGGACATCGAGGGACAGAAAAGGGAAATTTTATTCTCATCCACGTGGAAAAATGAAACACAAGTTCCAAGGATTTCTACAAGAGAGGAAAGTCAACTTTCTAGAACATAGTAACTGGCATGTATCATGTCTTCTCCATTGTCTGCAGCCTCCTTGTTCATCATTCCACTAGTAACAAGCACCTTCCATGAGAGGGACTAGTACAGGCAGAATCAGAATGGTCATTTAATCGGGATGTGATTGTTTTCCTTAGGAAGGCCCGATGGGAGAAGGGTCTGGAACGCCGCCTACGGCAAGGTTCAGGGATGACCAGCGGTTGGTTCCTTCATGCCCGTCTCCCACTGTCATGGTTAGACAGACTGGCCACGGCCTGGTGGATTAAACTTGAAGAACACATCTGTTCTAAGTCTTCCAGAGGAATGTGGGGGCTGATCGGTGTTCTCTTTGGGCTACTAGGTCATGCCTAGGTAACTTCTGACACTCTAACTTCCTGCCGCTCGGTGTGGTACCACCATCCAGACCATAAAGTAAGAGCTAGTCACCGTGTATTTACCATCCATCAGGTACCGCTTTAGGCACCTTTGTGTACAGTCATAATGTGATCCTCACAATGGCCCTGAGCTTGTCATAATTGTTGGCCCCATTAAAGAGGAAACAGAAGCACCCAGAATTTAATCTGCCTGAGTCAAACATCTCATGAGCGAACAGAACAGGACTCAAATCCAGGTGGTCCAATCCCAGGCTCTCAGTTCCTGACCCCTACATTATACTGACTCCAAAACCTCATCATCACTCACAGGGACTATAGAACAGCCTAACCCATCTTTCTGTTCCACTTTTGGCCTTCTAGAATCCATCCTTCACAGCACACTTGGAACAGTCTATCAAAAGCAGGAATCAAATCATACCCCTTCCCTGATTAAAATTCACCAAATAGCTCCTATCACCTCTAAAGTCTAGAGAAGTTCCTTAGCCTGGCTTACAAACCTTCCATGAACTGGCCTCCTGTCTATTTCTGCTCCGTCAGTGTCCTTTTGCAGACTTACATTTTGGCAGGAGTAGTAACAGGAGCGGCTGACAGCAAGTAGCTGCCCCCATGCTCCATGTCTCTGCCCACAGGGAAGGTAGAGGCTCCATCCTTTGTAATGGTACCTGATACCTGTCCCTTCTCTCTGACTCTTTCCAACCACCCACTCAGCAGATGTCCCTTTAATGCCCCCAGAACACCGTAGGCATACTTTTGTTATACCTGCCACACTGTACAGATTTTCTTTATGGATCTATTTTTGTAACTACACTACAAGCTTCTCAACAAATACTATGTCTCTCATTTTTGTAACCCAATGTCTACTATAGTATTAGGTTCTCAATTAATATTAGAACTCTGTATTTAAATATATTTCTAAAATTACTCTGTTGGGGTGCCTGGGTGGCTCAGTTGACTGAGCATCTGACTCCTGATGCTCAGGTCATAATCTCAGACTCCGTGCTCAGCAGGGAGTCTGATTGGGATTCTCTCTCTGTCCTCCTCCCTGCTCATGTTCTCTCTCTCTCTCAAATAAATCAATCTTAAAAACAACAACAACAAAAAAACCCTACTCTGCAAAATTGTAGTTCTTAAAAAAACCAGTAGAAATAAGCAAGGGACCCTCCAAAACAACACAATTTTTCTAATGTAAAATGTAAGTCTACAATTCTTATTTTGCTTTAGTATGAAGAGATGTTCAAGAGAACGGATGTGCATTTACGTTGGGACTCAGATGACACATAACACAAACAGTACATGGACGAAGCCGGGCTCCACACTGACAACCTGGATTCAGTGTTTACGTAGGACAACTGGACTAAGGACCGATGGAGTAGGTGATACAACAGACACACAACATTGTGTAGATGAACTGTACCTGCTTCTGGTCCCTGGTACCACAACTGCACCGCTGTCTTCATTTTTCCTCTGTAAAAACGTTGCAAATTTATTTCTCCTCGTAAGTGTTGCGCTCCCATTTTTTCTAACAGTACTTCCACCCGCCACGTCAGGCATGAGCATTTCAGAGGAGTTCAAGGATTTAGGACCTTCACAGTCATTTCTCTTGGTCTTCTTTGTAAATGCAAGGGAATACTGACTCAACAGGTCATCTTCTGACAGCTCTTCTAAATAAAAACAAAATGGTCTGTAAATCTTTGTTCCGTGTGGAGACTCACCCTTACTGTTACAGTCCACATCTCGCTGTCCTAAGGAGGAAGTCTTATTTCTTTAATGATGCATCACAAAAGGAGATACAAGAATGACTCAAAAGAAATAGAATTCCCTTAGCTGTGTTTTACAATTTCACAAATTAGTTAAGTTGTAATGTCAATTATTTGTATGATTTAAAGTGAAATTACTGAAACCAAAATTTCAGGATACAATCAATTCTGTAAGGCTATTTACTTCTGATACTAAAGGCTTGATTTTGAATAAAAAAAATTAAGGCAATTTACACGTCAATGTACGATTTCCTATCTGAGTTTTAAAATGTTCCAATAAAACCAGCAGCCACTTATAACCACCACTGATACATTACCACCTTTGAAGTATATGAGATTGTCACATAGTGAAGTAACCTGTGCTCTAGTTCTGATCCTCATTACCTAGCCATGGGGCCTGAGAAACTTGTGTGACCAATGTATTCTATGGCAGAATAAATCATAAGATTAAACAATACAGTCAATTGATGCCCGACATAGACAACAACATAGAGAGAGTGGGCAGGTGCTTGAAATCAGTCCAACTACAACTAATTCTCAGCCTGAACAGAGAGTGCTCACTACCCTAGGAGATCAGTAAAATGGTTGGGGGTACCAAATACTAGAGACCAGAAGAGGATACCTCAAATTTAAAAATACACAGATTTTTATTTAAAAAGATTTTATTTATTTGAGAGAGAATGAGATAGAGAGACAGAGAGCATGAGAGGGGGGAGGGTCAGAGGGAGAAGCAGACTCCCTGCTGAGCAGGGAGCCCCAAGCGGGACTCGATCCTGGGACTCCAGGATCATGATCTGAGCCGAAGGCAGTCACTTAACCAACTGAGCCCAAATACACAGATTTTTAAGAAGCTACAGATCTGTAAATTTGACTTTGTTTATAAAAGCCTTAATTTGTTTATAAGCAGAGACTTGTGAGCCCTTAGGGAAGAGGGAAGAGGGAAGAAGTAAACACAAACATTGTAGGATCCTTAGCAAGGTTTCTCCAAGCAGCAGCCATGCCAAGCTAACCGCCTTTTCCTACTGTGATAAGGCTATTCGACTAGCTTTTGGGGGGAATTCCATGGGTTTAGATGCTAAGCAGGACACTTCAGTGTCTCTCATATTATCCTAGTGGACAAGGCAGAGCAAAATAACTGGATATGAGTTATGTGGAATTACAGCAAATTGAAGTGCCCAGAAAGACCGCAGGTGACTAGCAGTCCGAACAGTCTGGAATCTAGCGTAAGTGCTCTCGACGTCAGTACGTTAAACATCACGTAAGCAAACACATTTTATTCAAAACTTTGAGACACTGGGAGCCATACTTCTCTCATTTCCAGGTGACACAGATAATACCCATCTGTTAGTAGATAACACAAAGATTTTTCAGGAAAGGCAGAAAAATCGATTTTAACGAATTGATTGCATCAGTAGAGATAATTTAATCCAGATTTAAGTTTAAAAGTATAACTATATCTGCCTTAACAACAACTAGTGGATTTTGATTATAAACTCAGTAAGTGCCAGTAAAATGACAGGAATGTTAACAAAATCTATCTTAGTTTGCAATAATACAAGCATAGTCTCTGGGTGAAGGCTGAAAATACTGACACAATTCTAAACATTTATTGTGCTCTGTGGTAAGAAGACTGCACTTCAACAACCACTCACCATAACAGTCACACAATTATTAAAACCTGTATTGTATCCAAAGCACAAACTGGGTAGGTAAGCAACTTTTAGCTTGGAAAAGAAATTTAGGAGAGTCACAATGGTTGTCTCTAAACACATGAAAGGCCTGTCAGCTAAAAGAGGGAAAAAATTTTACTGTTTTATTTTATGTTTGTGTGAGTCCAGGGCACAAAATCCATTGACAGGTGGCAGTTATAGCAAAGCAGACTGTGACATAAAGAACTTAGAGATAATGAGTTCTCTACATAAAATGAACAGCTTATCCTCATGGGAACAGAAGGGAAGGAATGAACATGCAGTGTACTTGCCATGGACAAGGGGCTTTTATACGTTACAGTACATAACATACACAAACATTTGTGAATAGGCAGTAGTTCCCATTTCAGAAGACGAAACAAAGGTCCAGAGATATTATCAGGGAAAGATTTATGCTCATAAGGAATACCTTTTGACAAAACATGAATAATCTATACCTAAATTTGAAAAGCAAAAGCATGAGCTAAAAGGTTTGCAAAGGGCTTGTTTTGTTTGTTGTTAGACTTTCATTCATTCATGTCTGAAGGAAAGGAGAGAGAGAAGGACCAGATTACAATTAGTCTTTCTACTTCTACACATCTTCTATGATAAAAATAAAACAGCTCTCCCTAATACTTAGTATTCCACTCTCAGCACTTCTGTTCAACATTATACTGGAGGTTCCAGAAGACAAGAAAAAGACATAAAAGGAGGAAGGGAAAAAAATGAACAAATAAAAAACAAACAAATAAACAGCATCCAGATTGGAGAAGGAGAAGCACAACTGTCTTTATCTGCAGGTGACTTGACTGTCTCTGCAGAATCCTGTGGAGTCTATGAAAGAGACACTATGAACTAATATGCGGATTTGTGGTACAAACAGGACACTGAAATACAAAACTCAATCCTACAGTTGACCCTTGAACAACAGGAGTTAAGGGCTGACCCCCTCCAGAGTCAGAAATCTGTATCTAACTACTGACTCTCTGAAAACTTAACTACTAATGGCCGACTGCTGACCAAAAGACTTACAACAGAGACAGCCAATTAACACATACTTTGTATGCTATATGTGCCATACACTGTATTCTTGTAATAAAGTGATCTAGAGAAAAGAAAATATTAAGAAAATCATAAAGAGAAAATATTTACTGCACTGTATTTATGAAAAAAATTCCACATATAAGAGGACCTGCGCAGTTCAAACCCTTGTTGGTTCAAGAGTCAACTGGATTTCTAGCAATAAACAATTAGAAATCAAAATTTAAAATATCATTTGTAGTAGCATCAAAAATCTGAAACAGAGATAAATTTGACAATACATGTGTGCAAGACACTAAAAACCACACAGCACTGCTGAACACTAAATGAAAGAAGAGTTAAATAAATACATCAGAAAACCCAATCTTGGTAAGAAGTCAATTCTCCCCAAACTGATCTATGGAGTCAACTAAATTCCAATCACCATCTCAGCAGGCTTTATTTTTTTTTAAATTGACAAGTTGATTCTAAAATCTGTATGGAATTGTGAAAAACAGAGTAGCCAAAACAGCTTTGCAAAAAAAGAACAAACTTAGAATAGACTTAGACTTATATTACTTAATTCCAAGATTTACAGAAACCTACAATAATTAAGATAATGTTCTGGCATAAAGATAGCGAAAGAGACCCATGATACAGAATGATAGAGTCCAAAGCAGACTCACACATATATGGTCAAGGTCAACTGATTGTCACCAAATGTGCCAAGGCAATTCAATGGGGAGAGGACAATCTTTTAACAAATGGTGGAGCAAGTGGACTGCCATATATAAAAAAGGTGAACCTTGATCCTTACCTCACACCATATGAAAAAATTAATCCAAAATGGATCAAAAGCCTAAATCTAAGAGCTAAAACTACTAAAGTTCTAGAAAAAAAAAAAAAGCAGAAAATTTTAGTGACCTTGGGTTTGGCAAAGATTTCTTAAATGTGATCAACACTCACTAATATTTCACAATATATACTGCAGGCAAAAATACATACCATTTCTTGGTCTTTTCACAATGGATGACTTCCTTGGAAGATTTAACCCTTTAATACTGATCACTTGTTCAATGCCCACAGTACTTGGATTTTCCTTCAATCTTGTAGCATTTGAAACAACATCCAGCTCAAGTCTAGGGCAATAATTCCTATGCCAAATGCTATTAACATTAGATGACTTCTGACATGTTTTGTCATTCCAACTCTGACTTCTTGATTGGGCAGGCTAAAATAGTAAAATCGAAAAGGATGACTTGAAGAAGGAAAATAGCCAAATATTTCCCTCTCTATCAATATAAACCATAAGCAAATAATTTACTCTTTTGAGCAATTTCTAATGAAATATCTGTTCTTTAATAACATTTTCTACTTTGATGGCACTACACTTTTCCATTAAATGTGTCTTGTGCTCCTGGGTCTGTTTCTCTTCTAATGAAAGTCAAGTGACTTGTAAGCTCATTTCTAAGAAATAAAAAGTGAATCTCCTTAAGATGAACAGTGCAAGAAATTAAAATATACTTGAAGAAATGTGGCCAGAACAAGTACTTTTAAAATTTGAATATTATTTCAAAACACAATACCAATAAGTTTAATAATGATCTGGCAATAAGCCTCTAGTCACTTACCCTAGTTACAAAGCACCTGAGAGTCAAGACCATAAAACTGTATATTTAAAGTAAGCGACCATCCCATCTCTAAAACCTGGTTGAATTTAAACCAAAACGATCTAATTTCTTTTTCTTTTTTTAAAAGATTATTTATTTGAGGGAGAGGGAGAGGGAGAGGGAGAAGCAGACTCGCTCACCGCTGAGCAGAGAGCCTGATGCGGGGCTCGATCCCGGGACCCTAAGATCATGACCTGAGCCAAAGGCAGATGTTTAACCCACTGAGCCACTTACACCCCCAAAACGATCTAATTTAAAACTCTAGTTTCTATTTGACCCATACTTAGTGCCATCTTTAGTGGACAGTATAGACAAACAGAAAGCTACTTGGGTCTACACTGAATCTTGCATAAAAGAGTTATTGCCAGTAAGTGTTGGTAAAGCAGTCATTCTTAATGCTAATATAACTTATTCACAATTACAACATATTTTGGATGATAATGCTCTATTAAGAGGATATCAATGATATTCTAATAGAGCAGAGAGGCAAAGATAAAAATTAACAAAGACATAAACAATGTTGGTACTTAGGGCATGAATTCCACTCGACAAAAATCCCACCTAAACTTGGAATCTAATCGAAGCCTCTCACTTAAAGGATAAAAATAAATAAAACAAGGTGACATTATTCAGGATACACCTTGAGAATTAACAAAGACAGTTATTTGGAATAATTGAGTGAATGGTTATAAAAAACAGCTTAAGCATAATAGCTCATGGCATTAGATCCCACTGATGGTTTTACTGAAAAAAGAGAAACAGGCAAATAGAAAACCAGCCTGGGAAGACTAAATTTTAGATAAACAAAAAGAATTAGTTTGGTACAATTAATGGTTCCTACAGAAATTTCTCTGTAAAAGGATGGCCATCTTAGTGAACCATAACATTCTCGTTAATGTCTGGACACATTCAACACAACCAACTATTTTAGTTTCTGAGACAAAGGAATAACTTAAGAACCATTCCTGACGAAATTATAATAATAGCAATAATTCAAATGTGTAAAGAAGATTGCAGAGTAAACACTTTTTAGTCCCCTTCCTTTGATTACTATCTCCCAAAAACAATAATCAAATTCCATCTGCAGTAAAATTAGGAGATATCTGTATGGCTCAAATCATAGTGAAGACAGAGTACAGATAGAGAAATTTTAAGAACTTAGACCAAGCCCAAGTGTCTGCAGAAAAGAATCCCAAAGGGAAGTCAATTTCTCCTACACAAACGTGAGAAGAGCTCAGGGATTTAAGGCACCAGGTACCATGCGGGCCCCACATGGGGAAGGGCTAAGTTGAGGCTATTTGATCCCTGGGCCCTCATCTTCCATCCGACCATACAGTCAACTCACACCAACCTGCCTTCAGAACCAGAGCAACTGTTCAGTTGAAACCCAGGAGTAGGCAGTTCAGAAGATGGGGAAATCCATTTGTCTGAAGACAGAGGTCAAATGAAAGGCCCACCCCAACTCGCTTTCCCTAACCTGCTCTCAAAATGCAAACTGCCACGTATACATGTGCTAAGTCAAAACTGGAGGATCCCTTTCTGGAAAAATGGAACCATGCAGAGAAAACAAAATCAAGCCAGCTTGTTAGCAACCAGATCACCCAAGAGTAAAGCCCAAGATTATAAGCCCCAATTGTTCACAAATCTTCTCCAGCTGCACGGTGCCTCTCTCAAATAAGAACAAATAGACAAGAAGCTTCAGATGTTTGAAGAAAGTCTCCACCATGGAAGAGAAAAGGCCAAAACAAATAGAAAAAAAAAAAACAATTCAGAGCAAACACAGAATGCAGAAATTGGGAGAAAATGTGCAAGAAATTATAACTGATATTCTCAGAGAGATCCATGACAAAGAATCTTTTTTTTTTTTTAAAGATTTTATTTATTTGACAGAGAGGGAGCACAAGCAGGGGGAGTGGCAGAGGGGGAGAGAGAGAAGCAGACCCCCTGCTGAATGGGGAGCCCGACACTGGGCTTGATCCCAGGACCCCGGGATCATGACCTGAGCCAAAGGCAGACACTTAACTGACTGAGCCACCCAGGCACCCCTGACACAGAATCTTTAAAAAAGTACAATTAAAGAAAGCACCCTTAGAAAAGAAAATGACTGTAGAAAAAAATTCAACAGAATTTTCAGCAATGACAGAAATGTTCTGTACAGTCCAATATGGATAGCCACTAGCCACTAAGTACTTGCAAGGTGGCCAATGCAACTGAAGAACTGAAATTTAAATATTATTCAATGTGAATTAATTTAAATAGCCATATGTAGCTACTGGCTACTATACTGGATAGTACAAAGTCAGAAGACAAACAAGACAAAGACATGATTAAGACAGAAAAAGTCGAAGACTAGGAAATCTAACATCTAATTCAGAAAAGTTCTAAAAAGAGAAAAAAGGGGAAAGAGAAACCTGAGTGTAAGGTCTACGTGATTTGAATTGATGCACATAAGGTTCTTTCCGAGTATCGTTAGGGATTTGTGTTCTCTTAGCAGCTTGGTTTGTTTCAGCTGACAGTGATGATTTCAACGCTCAACCGGTCCTGGTTTCTCACTGGCCAGCTTCTCCAGGCTCACCTCGTCTTCTTTCTCAAGGAGCTCTGCTTCCTTCACATAGTGAACACTAGGACAGTCTTGGGCCAGCCATAATTAACTACTCATTACTCCACACACGTTGTTTGCTTCAGCCTGGCATCACTCCTCTATCTCATCTTGAAACTCCCCACTGATCTTTGCAAACCCAGGACACCTCAGTTTCTCTAAAGGAGACAGAGAGAGCTTGACCTGGGATCAGAGCTCCCCTTTTTATTAAGTGTGTTCTGGGCAAGTTACTTAACCTCCCTCTCATTTCCTCATCTGTAAAATGGGAATAACAGTATTGACCTCACAGGCTTGTTGAAGAGTAAATGAGTTACTATGTGTAAGGTGCTTAGAATAGCATTTAGAATGGAGGTGCCTGGATGACTCAGTCAGTTGAATGTCTGACTTGGACCCAGGTCATGATCTCAGGTCCTGGGACTGAGCCCCGTGTCAGGCTCCCTACTCAGTGGGGAGTCTGCTTGTCCCTCTGCCCCTTCCCCTCATGTTCTCTCTCAAATAAATAAAATCTTCAAAAAAAAAATAGCATTTAGGATGTAGTAAATACCAGTATTTGCTATTGTTATTATGAAGCATTCTTCCCTTAGGTGGAGTTAGGTACATGCCCCCCCCTTTTTCATGGAGACTAGAATATATCTCTATTACAGAAATTTCCACATTTCTATATACACAACCGCATCTCCCTTCCCTAGGCAATGAGCACCCGAGGACGAATTTTATTTTTTCTTTACATTCCAGAACACTAGCTAACCTATGCTTGTTTTAGTACTTAATAAATGCTCAGTCAAGAACTGAATTAGTGAGCAAAGGTAGAAAGACCCGAATTAGACTGGAAGCTATGAGAAAGAAGAACCTATCATTCAGAAGAACTAAAAGAAGCAAAAGAATTAGCAGTAAAGGAGAAGCCCAAGTTTATTTCCAAGTCTTTTAGTCTGAGAATGAAAGAGATCATGTAACTAACTAATAGTCATTCCTTCAACAAGTAAACGTGGTAAATATATTTTAAATATATTTTACATATATATACATAAAGCCCTGCCTTTATGAAAATTATATTCTGCTGGGAAGAATCACAAAGTAAACTATGGAGACATAACTTAGGCATTAGTAAGTGCTAAACAGGAGAAATGTCATTAAGGAAAGCTGTTAAGGAATTCTTTTGACTGTGGATAGATTTAAGGTTATAGGAAATCATTTATGTAGAGATCCAAGAAACATTTAGAATTATGCAGCTGTTGTTAGACTAGAGATTAGGTTAAAGATGTGGGAGTTTTCTGCATAAATAAGATAAACTTACTTAAGGAATAAATTTGAACAGAAAAGAGAACAGTCTGGGAAAGGAGAGAATGGTGGGGGAGTGTCAGAAGGGATATACACAACTGGGGAAAAGTGAATAGGAAAGGGCTCAGGGACACAGCTCAGGGGTGTTCCATTAATATTTGTGCAGTGCATGTGAGTGAGCGAGAAAACAGCATTTACTTCCAATGGTAGCGTTTCTAGGTTTGAACTTTCAACTATGCCAAATGTCAGAGGCGAATGGGGTGGGACGAGAAGAAAGTCATCAAATGCTTGTAGATTCAGACGAAATGTTCATGTCTAAAGGTCTGGTGATGTATCATTTGGTCGCTTTTTAAGAAAAAAACAATATATCTGTTCTAAGATAATTTCTCTATCATCGAATTGTTTTAAACCCATACTCCGCACAGTGCTGGGATATAGAGATGCATAGAAGATGCTTACAAAAGGAAGATTTGCCTTTAGTCACAGTTCCTGGGTCACCTGGGTGGCTCAGCTGGTTAAGTGTCTTGCCTTCAGCTCAGGTCATGATCTCGGGGTCCTGGGATCGAGCCCCGCATCAGGCTCCCTGCTCAGAAGGAAGTCTGCTTCTCCCTCTCCCTCTGCTCCTCCCCCTGCTCATGCTCTCAAATAAATAAAAATCTTTCAGTCAGAGTTCCTGAGACGTAATTAAAATGTGCTCCCTAAAAGTGAAGTCATTACAAAAAAAAGTCCTTAAGATGTTACCGTAGCAGTGTCTGGATTGTAGTCATCAATCTGTTCAAAAGTGTTTATATCTTTATTTCCAAGGGCTATTTGAAGAGCTATGGAATCATCAAAATACCTTGGTTGGTAAGATTAAGGAAAAATGCCTTTATTAACAACTGTACAATAACGTATTAAGATCAAAAAGTGTATTCCTTACTCTCCACACTCAGCATGACTGAAACCACAGGGGTCATTTGCTGGGTTATTTTTGTCACTGTAGGAGATGATAACCACAGGGGTCATTTGCTAGGTTCTATCTGTCACCGTAGGAGACGATAACCACAGGGGTCATTTGCTAGGTTCTTTCTGTCACCGTAGGAGGCGACAACCACAGGGGTCATTTGCTAGGTTCTATCTGTCACCGTAGGAGGCGACAACCACAGGGGTCATTTGCTAGGTTCTATCTGTCACCGTAGGAGACGACAACCACAGGGGTCATTTGCTAGGTTCTATCTGTCACCATAGGAGACGACAACCACAGGGGTCATTTGCTACGTTCTGTCACCGTAGGAGACGACAACCACAGGGGTCATTTCTAGGTTCTTTCTGTCACTGTAGGGGCTGGCTGTTTTTGGAAGCAAAGCCCCAAGTCATGACTTCTTTCCCAGGGAGACGGAGAGGGAGTCCTGACCACCAGCTACATGACTGGGCTCTGAATCAGCCTGCGTGCATGCAGCCAGGGTCTCCGTGCAGGGCATCCTCAACGGGTGGGGTCACACATCCACAATGCCCCTCCTAGGAAGTGGAGCTTGCCGGCCAAGAAGTACCACCTTTGGTTTGTGTACCTTAAATGACCGACTCAGTACGGGTTTCTGTCAAGGCAACCTAAGTAATTAGCACGTTATGATGGATGAGCCGCAGGTTTATAAACCATGCTCTGAATTTTCACCAGCATGATAATTAAAATGAACAAGACATAGGTTTCACTATAAAAAAGAAAGAAAAAACAATTTGCAGGCTTTTTACTGAATGCCTCACTAAAAATTTCACCATAAAAATATGGAAGAAGTGCAAAATTCTACTATTCTGGTTCAGAAAGGATACTGCCCAGCGTAGCTTAGTGTTTCAGGATCAATGTCATCTTCGTAAGCATTCAGAGGGATGAGTTTCCTTTTGATGGGATCAAAAACTAGCTGATAAAGGAAGGTATTGTTGGCTCGAATAAATCCTTTGATGTAATCTTCTGGTACTGTTATGTTCATCTTAAGATAGTGTCCGATTTTCTTGATAACCTAATAATGGATGCAAAAATATTTACTAGTTATCTCCAAGTACAGAATAGGGAATGTATCATCACCAAGATCAACTGGTTCACATTAGAGGAGGCTGAGGACAGACAGAAAATCAATTGATTTTATCTGCACTGGAAGCCTCTACCAGCAAACATGACCATGTCATATCATTAAAAACTGTAACAGTATTTTCTTCGATTTTTCTATTATTACGAACAAGTCAGTTACACATCTAGTTTATATTCCCAGGTGTGACATAAAGACACATTCCCCGCCCTCAAAGTTCCTTTCATCCACAAAGCAAAATACAAACATACAAAACCCGAGAATTAAAATGAAGTCGACCTCTAACTTCTGTTAGAGTCATGGATGATTAAAGCTGGTAGTGGTTTAAATACTTCCTACCACACTCACAGACGAAGAAGGGGAGAGCCAGAGAGCGGAAGTCAGTGACCCTGGGGTCACCGGCAGCTTAGTGCGTGGCTCCCTTCCCCTCTGCACCCCCCCACCCCGCCAGGGGAGTGGGGTGGGGGTGGCGAAATGAGCTTCTTCAACATATGCTGCCTTTTTTTTTTTTTTTTTTAAAGGTAAAGCTATCAGAGAAATGATCGAGCGGTGATGCAGGTGTCTCAGTTTTCCACAGGACACATGATACTATGTCAGAGGAAGTAGGCAGGAGAACCCAGCTGTCTTCTATCAAGCCATGTGAAAGAGATTTACATAAATGTGCAATCCCGGTCAGAATTTTCACATTTTCAGAAGACACGGCTATTTTTCATTAAAATATGCTATATATGCTAACATGTAATGAATTTATTACTATTAGCTTTAAATTAACCAACATTTTATCTTTGTTTGAATTTAATTCGATGAATACCAACAGCTGTAACCCATTTAACAAAAATTATTGCCACCAAGAGCTTTAAAGGGGGTAGAGACCCTGAGACCAAAAAATCTGAGAGCCACCACTACAGAGAATAGGACAGAAATTGAAAGATAATACATTTTAACATTAATTCTATCTAGAACATTTTGCCCTTAAGTCTCTTTACATTAGTCTTCATTTAAAAAATTTTGCCAACTGCTTAAAGCAGGTCCATCAGTTGCCAAAAGCAAAATACTAGTGTTTTAGTCATTTTGTCCTTTTGACACATGATATGGGCTACTGAGAGGATAGAATATTTAAAATTCATATTCTGAAGGGTTTATCTATGATGTAAGAAATACTCCGGAAACCCAACCGGACTAGGCGACTCACTCTTACCTTCACGATGTCTGGATTATTGGCCAGTCTTAGCACTTTGCAAGCCTTTGCTAAGCCGATCCCACGCAGCGAGGAGAGGTAGTCGCAGCCCGAGAGAATGCACATATAGCGGAACTTCTCCTCTGTGAACACGTCCCCAAGCTGTCTGCACATGCCCAGCCGTACCTGGTCAATCTCTAGTCCATTTCCAAACTGGTCCATTTTTAAAATCACCTTCAAAAGGAAGGGAAATTGTTAAAACCTATAAGGGTCATTTTAATTTTTCATTATCCAATCCCCTGCGGTATTTCTAAGAATTCTTTCTTGTTCTTTATCATAGCACTGAGAGAGAGGAGAGATAGGCAGGCCAGTTAATTACTGTGAAATCTACAAATAAATGAAATTGAAGCATAGATGACGACAGACCAGGTTGTGCACCAGGACTCCCTTGTTCTGACTCTGGGATAAAGAATGCCCTTTCTGTACCTCTTACCTCCCACTGACATCCAGGACTGTCATGGTGATCAAACAGTGATTCATACAAAAATCCTTTTTCTTATTCTTAAAGTAATACATTTATACAATTTTCACTGTAGAAAATTTGGAGAACACAGAAATTCAGAAAGAAAACAGAAGTTGCCTGACATGTCTCATCTATCACTGTTACCCAGCATTAATCCTTTTACAGATCTTTCTAGTCATCTATGAAATTTAGAGATGATAAATAACATTGGCAGTAACAAAAACGATATCATCTTGTAGTTTTGTATCTTAATTCCCCCCTTACTACGTCATGATAAAATTTTCCATTAAACAGCTTTATACATAATTCTAAATAACTGCAAAGCAACCAGCTGGATAAGTTATTTACCTCACCTAACTGAAAAATGTAAAGCATATAAGTTAAACCAAAAATGAAAATAATAAGTCTACATTCTATTGAAGAATTTGGATAAAACAAAAATAAAACCTTCTAACCTTAAGGGCTTATTCTAAAAAAGTGTCCAGATTACACAAATGTCAAGCAGCAAAACCCTTCTTTTCATTTTAAATGAAATAATTATTATCATTGTGGGTAGATATTAACTGTGGGTATTAATGATTCCTGGAGAGGAAAAACCTTATTTCCTTGCTTTACACCACTGCCAACTACACAGAAAAGCAGCATATAGTTATAGCCAAGTACCTTTTTACAGCCAAAAGCAAGAAGGTCAGAGTCCTCTGTGATTATAGCTTGTACAATACCCGTTTTGTTAAGATAGGCCAACTGTGCATCTGCTTCGTATGGAGCCACGAGACAATCTACTCCCTGGGACCGAGCAGCCTGCCAGAGAAGGTCATGGTCAATCTCCAGCAGAGTATCTAGAAAGCACTCAACAACTTCCCATCTCATTACCAGCCTCAACATGTACATGCTCATGTTATTTTCAGAAATCATTTCCTTTGGGTTAAGTTTTTCCACTTTTAGTCCTAGCACATATTGAACTAATCATATAGCCACAAAGATTTCTTTTTAAAAAAATCAATTTATAGGAGAAAATACTGCTGTATATTCAGAGGGAGAGAAACAACTACAAGCCAGAAAAAATTATTTCAAATTTTAGAAAGAAAGCTTGCATCTTAAGAACAGCTATGCTCCAAAAGCATAAAAGACATTTGTTTGGAGTTCTGAATATATTCTCCCCATAAAAATAACATGCTTTCTTTTCAGACTACAAAAGTGTATCTGACACTGTTTTGATAAAATGACAGAATTTAATCTCTGTATTTATTTTCCTGTGTTTACCAAGCCGTTTGAACAGAGGCCTGAAGCAGAGGAACAGAGGGCTCAAGCTGCCGGCCGCAGAAGAAGATCTATGGTGGTAAGAAGCTTCTACGAAGAAGCAGGTTGAAGAGACGAGGGGTCTGAGAGGTCCTGAGCCAGAGAGGCTGGTTCGACGAATCCCACGGCCATGAAGAGTAGAGGTGTTAAGTGTTGACGACTACACGGCAGTGGGGTTAGGCTGGCCCTCCAGGAACCATCCCTTCCATCTCTACAGAACAAGATGCCCACCAAGCTCGAATATGTAGGAAGAGAGGGCATCCCTTAGTCCTGAGGATTTCTCCCTTGGAGACTGTTGGACTCCTCTCCACTGTTGAGATACTGCTCCCTTCCTCCTGAGACCTGCCCCTTCCTTGAGCTTAGGCCTAGAATAATTTTCCTCCCTTCACTTCCTTGTTCTCCCACCAATAAACGACTCATAACTAGCTTTGATGAACTTAGCCATTTGTTACTTTGGCTTTATTTCTCATTTCTTACTTTAATGACTTTGTGGGCCATCACATGTGTGATATTGATAGAACGGGTAAAACATTCTCTGGCTTCTGAGACTTTGCCCTCACGAAGAAGCTGCTTTCCCTTAAGAAGATTGGCCTGTCGTCTTCTGCAAGGGGAAAAAACAAAGTTTGACTCATCTGATAGTGTTTACCAGGTCCCTGAGAACATGAACCCAGATCTTTTGGGCTTCTAGTAAAAAGAACACAAGTGATTTATAATGCACGCACACATAAGCTTATCCTCAGACTTCCACAGCAATGCTCTATGTCAAAAGAAAATGGAGTAACTAAGACACTTAAGAAAATGTGAGTCAAGGCTTTCACACCATCAAAATGAACTTTCAAGCATAAAGGTGCACCTTTATCGACATAGGAAGAACTCGAGAAATACCGTTTCTGTGAGCTTGTGGGATCTACTAGAGAATAAATTTCAGAAAAAACAAAATAACATCTGCAGAAGAATGGTCTATAACAAGCAAATATGTGGTAATTTGCAGAATCAATACCAAATACGGTTAAACAGGGAGACAGTGATAGTACACATTCTAACAATATAGAACTGCTATTTTTAAAATGGGAAAAGAGAGAGCATATGCGAAAGAAGAGGAAATTTTAACTGTTTTCAATAATCATATTGGTAGTCGTACTATCAGTATTTTATTCTGAATCTACTGTTGAGTGTAATAAAATACTTACACTTATTTTGGGATAAGACAAGTGAGTCATTATAAGATACTGCAACTTCATCCCCCCGTGCCCTTGAAAAAAGGATTCTCAATATGGAAGAAAGGAGATAAAGATGTATTACAGAAGAAGTAGAAACCCTACAGTTGTGGGACGGGGGGGGGAGGGGGAAGAAACTCTACAGTCGTGAGTCTGAACTGGAAGAATCAGTCAGAACGTCAGAACTCATGAGGTTCTGATCTTTAAATGTGCACACACACACATACACACACATTCCCTAGTTCCACTTTTAGACTGGGCTCCACAGATGAAGAGGCTTGTAGAAAAGGATTTTAAGTGCCTCTCCCACTGCTATAGTGGCCCAGGGAAAGCTTATCCTACAAAGACAAAAAGACTTCACGGGTCAGAGACAGACAGACAGACAGACAGTTGTAACATTTTTTTTAAGCCATTTTTGAGCTTAGCAAGAGAAAATTAATAAGTATCTGCAATTAGAATTAAGAACATGAGACACCCAGGTGGGATCTGATTTGGATTAATCCCTTAGCCATACTAGTTTGGGACTGTCACCCATCCTTTTATAACTAACCTAGAATCTACTAATTTTTTATTAAGAGTATATTTAGTAAACTATACATTATTTGTAATAGAACATGGGCTCAGACAGTTTCAGTTACTCCTTTGTAAATAAACTTTATATAGTTTTGGCTTTAAGAATCAGAGCTCTCCAACCTGAAACTGATATAACACTGTATGTTAATTATACTGGAATTAAAAAAAAAAAAAAAAAGAATCAGAGCCCTCCAAGTCAGCTAGATTGAAAAACCTAGATCTGAAAAACTCTAACCTGATTCTAGGCTCAGAGAGAGAGAGCAAAACCAAGAAAGCAGCACCCTAATAGAATGCTCCCTCAGCGAGGCTTAATTCTATCTGGGTGTGACTCACACTACCTTTGACAACTAAGCCTAGTGGTCTTTCCCATACAAAAATAATGACTCCTGGACATAACAACAAATACAGGAGGAAAAGAAGAATGGATGAATGAGGTGGCATAGTTGCTTTATTAAAATAAAAAAATTCCTTCTAAGGTCTATTGTTATAAAATAACTATTATCTGTTAAATATGAATAACATTTCTAGGATAACTATTAAAAGAAGAGAAAGAGAATGCTTCACTTTTCAACTAGAAACAAGAGACAACATAATAAGGGCGGAAAAACAATCAATTCAGAAGTCAAGCAAGGTAGGAGTTACCAAAAAACAAAAACAAAAACAAAACCACAAAACACACACACACACACACAAAAACAGAGAGAGAGAAGACAAATGTAAAATACCAAGAGAAATAATGTATTAAAATATATTAATAATTAATGGTCAATGTAAAAGGAATAAACTCTTCATTTAAAAGATTTTCAAGAAGTGGCGAAGATCGACAGAATGGATACAAACAAACAAACAAAACATAGGGTACCTGGGTTGCTCAGTCGGTTAAGTGGCCGACTCTTGATTTTGGCTCAAGATCTTGGGATCCAGCCATGGGCAGGCAGGCTCCCCACTCAGTAGGGAGTCTGTTCTAGATTCTCTCTTTCCCTCTACCCCCCCCCCCCCCCACAAACATGAGTTTTCTCTCAAACACATAAATCTTAAAAAAAAAAAATAAACCACACACACACATGGTAATGTGTTCTTTATAAGAGGCAAACCTAAAAACCAATGATGTAGTAAAGCTAAAGGTGAATTAAAAAAAAAAAAAGACAGTAGAAACATAGAAAAAAGTTATAGGTATGCTAATATCAGACAGACAGACTTTAGGAAAAAGAAGCCTAACTAGAGTTTAAAAGAGTCACTATATATTGTTTCAGTTTACCACAAAAATGTAACTAATTCTCAACTTGAATGCAACCAATTGATTCAAAATAAACAAAACAAAAAGTGGACAGAACTATAAGGTAAATGACAAATCCACTACCAGATTTTAACATACTTTTCCCAGTAATTTATGAATTAAGTAGACAAAAATTTAAAAAAAAAGACAAAAAAACAAACAAAAGAGTAAAGATACAGATTTGAGCACCATAATCAATAAGCTTGACTTACTGACAGATATATAATCTTCCTCTTAGTAACTGGAGAATACACATTCCTTTCTAGCACACATGGAACATTTAAAGAAATTTGTTCAAGTACTAGATGATAGAGCAAGCCTCAACAAATTAAAATTTAAGAAAATTGGTATAAGACTATAGCAACAGACTTAAATGCAATTAAATTAGAAAGTGACTAGAGAATCAACTTACTCTCTTCTAGACTTTTCCACTTCCTTTTTGGAAGGTAAAGTACATCCATCAAATACGAGAATAGGCTTGATCCCATGAGAGAGTAACATATTTACAAATTTCATACAAAATCCTACATACCTATGAATATAAAGAAAAACGCATTTAGGTGCGTGGCATCTTGTAAGGTAATACTCTTGCTCTTTTTAAAATCAGATGAGACAGATTATGAAAGAGAAGGTTTTTACTATTTTTTTAAGCAAATGTTTTCACAGGAAATGGAAACTCTAATTTAGACTTGGGTTCAAATCCTGCCTTGGATCCTAATGGTCTATGTGACAAATGATGGGTTATTTATGCTTTTCTCATCTGCAGATGAAAAGGTTTTGACACCCCTTCCAGTTCTGATATTTTGTTCCAAAACTTGCCTTTTTCCCCTATTTTTTTTTTGCTTCAAAAAACTTCAAATCTATTGAAAAGTTGAAAGAACAGTACAATAAATATTTGATTCCTCCAACAATATCATTATCACACCCGAGCTATTTAAAAGCAATAAAGTATCATCTAACATAAACAGTCTATATTAAACTTTGTCCAATTGTTCCAGTATTTCTTATAACTAGTGGAGTCCTGGTAAAGGTTTAACAACCAGTTCTGTGGGAAGGGGTGCCTGCTCCGTAGCATTTGTCAAATTCCCTGACATGAATATATTACAGTGGTAAATAAACTACCAATGCGGGGTCACCAAATGCTGAACTGGGAGAAGATGGTGTATAGCCAACTTGTATGAGTTGGCTCCAGCACAATGTTGCTACCCCCCTCCCCCAACAGTCTAGGATCTAAACAAGGATCATGTATTGCTTTTAGTTTTTTTATTCCAGCAAGGCAATCAACAAAAAGAGCCACATTACAACTTCCATCGTTTATAAAGGATATTTTAACTAAAGAACAGAAATAGACATATTAAAGATAATCTTTTAAATCACATAATACTCATCTTAATGAAGGACTATGTGGTCCTTCTTTTTATTGTAAACCAGTAACAATAGACATGTATTTGTCTACAGAACAGTGACTTTGTACTAATTCTGGGCCTACTAATGAAGTATCATGTAAAAGACAGGGGGAAAGCTAATATAAAATCGTAATAAATCTCAAAGGAAACTCACATATTTTTTTAATCAGACAGAATACAAACAGACACCTGTTGCAGAAATCTTACCAGGTCAGCATATTAGATCTACCTCGTTTCTTATAGTAGTCATAAAGGCTTATCATACACTTATCCATATTTTCTGACCTTTTCTAGGTAATATCCTCATCCAAAGGTGGATAAGAAAGGAAAAATAAACTCTATTGAATGTGACTTATTGGGGCACCTGGGTGGTTCAGTTGGTTAAGCGACTGCCTTCAGCTCAGGTCATGATCCTGGAGTCCCAGGTTTGAGTCTCACATCGGGCTCCCTGCTCAGTGGGGAGTCTGCTTCTCCCTCTGACCCTCCCCCTCTCATGCTCTCTCTCAAATAAATAAATAAAATCTTTAAAAAAAAAATGTGACTTATTAGTTGCTGTGAGAAAAAAAAAAAAGTCCACAATACTTTGTAGGAAGTCCTGAAACTTTTTAGTTCAATAAATTACTACATGGCAGATCTGTGGAGTTCATCAACGACATCTCTAATAAAGGATATTTTCTGTATTTTGGACAACTCTTCCAATTAGTCAAAAATCTCAGAATTTCTAAGAACTACAAAAAAGTAGAGAAAGTTCTTCCCCTGTGAAGAACTATTCAAAGAAATACTGCAGGTAGAATGAAAAATTTGTAGTCTTCACCTACACCTGTCACTATTCGAATTTAGTGGCAGAAAAGAAATGGCCTTCAGATGGAGTGGCAGCAGGGCCCCAGCTTTCAGATCCCACACGTACTGGTCCGGGTCACCTTTGGTCAAATTAACTGGAGAAGCCTGAAAGCCCGAAACATCCACCATTCAATACTTTCCCTCTTTCCTCCAGGAAACAAACAGCATTAACACATTTTACCTATTTTTCATTGTGATTAAGTAAGTCGTATCAAGATCCGGGAGCCTTTCCTCCAGGAGATAAATTACATATTGCAAAAAAGAAAATTCATAATAGCGATCAAATCGCTCCAGAAAATCCCTGTTCTGAAATTATACTTGCTTCCTTTTCTAATGTCTCTATGTAAAAAAATAGAGAAGATATTAGTCCATGGAACATGCCTCAAATGAAGTTGCAGTTATGACTGGATATCAGCAAGGCCGACCACTTTGGGCCCCAAGTAAAGTAAAAGGGAGTCAGAACACCTTGTCCCTTTGAAGCAACTGCTTTGTTTTGCAAACAGGACTCAGTTTCTTCAGTAACGAATAAAGGACACAGTCTTTGGTTTTTGTCTACAGGTGTCTTGATACTACATCACAGAACGAAGTCGCTCCTGATTTGGCAATGTTCTCAGTCTCACTTCTTAATAAACCTGGCATTGAATGAAAACGATCCCAATGTAAGTCTAATTCTTAGCTGACAAAGAATTAATTAATACAAGGTCCAAACTTACTTATCAGTAGGTTCACCTTTGGCTAGTTTCTCAGCACAAGCAATAGCTCCTTTGTGAAGCCAGCAATATGTATCCACAGCTACTACCTGTCCTTTATACTTCCTCACGTGGATGGGTTCAGACGCTTCTTTGATAAACTGCAGTAATCCATGTATCCCCATAGTGCCAAGTTAACTACACGATGTGAGAGGAGAAAGGAAAAACAGCAATATTTAGAGCAAAATATATTTACTCAAAAGTTTTAGAAAAGTAAGAAAAAGGGTTTGGAAACTGATATAGCCACTGTTATTGCTTAGATATTTGAGAATCACTGCTCTTTAATACTTTAACTGGGCTCCGACCAAGAATTTCCAGTCTAGAATATTTATGCTAATCACCAACTCTAACGTCACTTGATAGTTCCGTAACGTTTATTCTTTCCAAAGTGATTTTCCACTTGGAATCATGTGTGTTCCAAGCCTAGGCACCCAGGAAGTGCTAAACGTGCAAGAATCTCTCTCTCCAAAAAAGCATTGTTAAGATCTACCCCCTTCCACCCAGGAAGAAGCATAGAAGGACTTAAAAGTCCCTTCTATGCAGCAATTCTGGAGCTGGCTCAGACCCTTCTGAAGCACTACAGTTGACCCTTGAACAAGGAGGGGGATTATTTGCACCCACCCCCACCCAGTCGAAAATCCACCTATGATTTTTGACTCTCCCAAAACTTCACTACTAATAGCCAGAAGCCTTACCAATTACATAAACTCAGTTAAAACATATTTTGTATGTTATATGTATCATATACTGTATTCTTAAAATAAAGTAAGCCACAGAGAAGAAACTGGTATTAAGAAAATCACAAGGAGGGGTGCCTGGGTGGCTCAGTCATTAAGCGTCTGTCTTAGGCTCAGGTCAGGATCTGGGACTGAGCCCTGCATGGGGCTCCCTGCTCCGTGGGAAGCCTGCTTCTCTCTCGCCCACTCGCCCTGCTTCCCTGGTCATGTTCCCTCTCTTGCTGTGTCTCTGTCAAATAAATAAATAAAATCTTTAAAAAAATAAAAAGAAAATCACAAGGAAAATACATTTACAGTACTGTACTGCATTTATCAAAAAAAATCCAGCGAATTGGTGGACCCTCACAGTTCTTTTTTTGTACAGATTTATTTGACAGAGAGACACAGCGAGAGAGGGAACACAAGCAGGGGGAGTGGGAGAGGGAGAAGCAGGCCTCCCGCGGAGCAGGGAGCCCGATGCGGGGCTGGATCCCAGGATGCTGGGATCATGACCTGAGTCAAAGGCAGACGCTCAACGACTAAGCCACCCAAGCGCGCCTGGACCCTCACAGTTCTAAACCCTGTGGTTCAAGAGTCAGCTCTAGCACCCACCCCCCACCCCCACCCCTCAAGATAAAAAGTAGAAGCAATGGGGCTGAACAGCTGCTTCGTGTTTCAAAACATAAACCCCTCCCAGCAAACATTTAAGTTTGGGGGGAAAGGTAGAAAGAACAGGGTAAGAAGTCCGCCTCACCTTGAGACTGTATCAAAGCTCTGAGCTCAGGGCCAGCAGTGCATTCACCAATTGTGGAGACGGGTGGCAGATTCTGACTCTTAAATACGGCAGGTAATTGGCATGCAGGTGTTCCTCAAGCCACAGTTCCAGAGAAGCAATTAGCCTCCTACCTCTCAGATAATGCCTCTAAAAAGAGTTTTCTTCCCCTTTGAGGGAAACTGAGGTAGTACACATTTTGCCAAACCTGTATGTCTCTTCTAAGCTAGGTAAATACGCTCGCCTAAACGTTTCCTCTTCAGCGGAGTGGGAATGACCTGGGGCCACAAGGCGGGCAACATCTCAGGGGGCCCGCCTGCCACCCGCGAGGTACGACCACACCGTCGACCTCACCGCCTCACTCCCGTCCACAGGCTGTGCACGAGTGGCCCGCAAGCCCATTCCAGAAGACACGCTTCCTTTCGCCTGCAAGACATCAAGAAGAAAATTCACTTTTCCACATTTATGAGTGGGGACTGCAGGTGAAAGGGGGGCTGCTAGCTTGGGTACCAGCCCTGCAGAAGTCCGGCGGTTGGGAGCCTGCGCCCGCGGACCCTCCCTGCGCTCAGGGCAGCCTCGGCTCGGCCTGCACTGCGATCAGCACTCGGGACTCTGCGGCCGGGGCGGGAGGACCCCGCCGGACACCCTCCTCCTGGCCCTGGACGACCGGAGTCCCGAGTGGCCGCCACCCTGGGCCCACGCACAGCCCGCTCCGCTCCGTTCCCGGGAAGGGTTCTCCCCGTCCGCTTCAGGGCAGGTAGGCGGAGGGTTCCGAAACCTGCTCCCGACGCCCCCGACTCACCTGGGCCAGAGCGCCCGAGGCAGGCGGCGCAGAACACAGGCAGCCGGGTGGCAGCCGCGCACCAAGGACTTTTCAATTTGCGCGGGAGAGCTTGAGGTCCCGCCCCAGCGGAAGTGACACCAGAGCGCCCTTCCGCGGCCCCGGCTCCGCTTCTCGCGACCTCCGCTTCCGGGACCTGAGTCCCGCTCCTCGCCGAACGCCATGGTGGCCGCGGCCCTGCGACCCCGGTCGCCGCTGCCGGCCACGATACTTTCAGGCCTTCCGAAGGCGCGGACGGAGCTGGAGCAGCTGGCTCACGGGAAACGGCTCCCGGAAGCTGGTAGTTTTCGCTCTCGCCGGGGCTGCTGGGAGTTGTAGTTCTCCGCTGACTGCGTCCTGACGTCGGGCCTGCGGTAGTTTAAGGAGCGCCCCCGCGTGTTTGTGTGTAGGGTTTTAAAGCCCGAAAGAGATCACTGCAGCAAACTAGTCCCTTAGTCTCTGTCGTGTGCAGTTGACCCCAAAGCTCTTCAGAGACAGCTGCACGGCGGGCTGCAGGGAAACAGAAGATGCGTCTCGAGTTATAGGGTTCTTTAGATCCTTCCTGGAGACTTTGGGAGGGGAGAGAGGGGCGGTTAGTAAGAAATGCAACTAGGAAGTGAGTGACAGTCGCTCCTGGACCACACTCTATCCACAGGGCCGTGAGCCCTCCTCTCTACGGGGCCTGATGTTTGGCCTAGAAAGGCTCGAACAAAACACTAACGTAGTTCCTAACAGCTCAGGGTCACATCCCCAGGATGACCTTGGCCCCCTTTAACGTGCCTGACTGAGAACCCTCAAGGCTGCGATAGAAGTTACCGTTTGCGCGGGCCAACACCTGATGGCAGCGTCTGGTCTCCCAGGGTCTGCAGGAGGGTAGGAGCCTGACTTCTACAATCGCTGGTTCACAGCCCCAGGGGACACTCCCTTCCTGGTTTTTGTCGTTTTCACCTCCCTGACTCTGCTGAGTCCTCATTCTGTCCTCCCGCGCCCTCATTCTCTCTTTAAAACAACCCTCTCCCTGCCCCACCTCAGTACAAATCAGTTAGGAGCAGGACTGTTGTTACCTTTTCCAACAGTGTATTACTGATTAAAACTGTCCTTAGCGCTTTACCTAGCGTCCAGCTTCGTTCATCTTTGACCTAAATGGGGTGGAGTGGGGGAGGCGGGCTGGCTTCGCAGCCAAATAATGAAAATAAGCCGTATGGTGAACAGACTTCAAAGACATTTTGGACGCTGGTGGTCACTGGGGTGAGGCTTCCTGTCCTCGTGATACTCTAGACCTTGTATCTGCCCTCTTTCCTCAGGGATATTGTGGTAAAAAATTTGGAGAAGAACCTTAGACCAGACCACAGAGTGTGTTCTGGGCCCAGGGATGAGCAGGAATGATAATTCCTACTCATCTTAAAGAGCTGAAGGGAAAGAAGCATGTTAAAAAAAAAATGCTATCTGATGACCTTCTGTACATGTTTCTCTTATGCTTCTTTTAAAGTCTTTTCATGATTAGTTTAACATCTATCTCGCCAACATATTTTGCCTTAGAAATTGTTGAAATGGTGTCACTTTTGGGTTATGTGCTCAGTGGGTGCAGAGCTGCCTCCTCCCCAGTTTTGGTCTTTAGAGTGGAGGCTAGGAGAAGTGGTCAGGAAAGTTATCTTCACTGGGCTTCCAATGGCCATGGGTAGACCTCACCCTGGGCCAGCTTGGAACTGACCACAGGGTTTGGTGGGGGACAGTTCCAAACTGCAGGAGGGTAAAGAGGAGCTTAAGCGTGGGTGGGGCATGTTTGTAAGAAAAATGTTCCTACAGTCATTGGACTGCCCAGCTGTGGTCCAACCAAGAATGTGCCACACAAGGGGTTCTTAGGAAGGAACCCAAACCTCAGAAAGATGCCCAGCCCCATCATGAAGCATCCATAGGAGGTTGCTGTCCTATGAACTGCCCATACCTTTACTGCTAATTTGACTCCCAAGTATCAGACTGGATTCTCAGCTGCAGCGTTTGAAGCCTGGAACTTTTAGAAAACACCAGTTACGTTTCACTGAACAGAACTCTTTGACTTTTTTTTTTTAAAAGATTTATTTATTTATTTATTTGACAGAGAGAGAGACAGTGAGAGAGGGAACACAGGCAGGGGGAGTGGGAGAGGGAGAAGCAGGCCCCCCGCGGAGCACGGATTCCCGATGCGGGGCTCGATCCCAGGACCCTGGGATCATGACCTGAGCCGAAGGCAGATGCTTAACGACTGAGCCACTCAGGCGCCCCCAGAACCCTTTGACTTTTTGAGAGGTTAAAAACATTTGAGTCAATTCATGCAGTAACATGTGTTAGGTGTGCCTGTCGTACCAGGTGATGTGGGGAACACAAGGAAATGGTCCCTGTCCTCAAGCAACTTGGGCTCTAGTTATGCAGACAAAACATGTATCCATTAAGAAGTTAAAGAACAAATCATGATGGTGTGTTGTTAAATTCTGCAATGAGTGGTACAACCCCTAAGTTCTTAGCTGAAGACTGTTTTCTGAAGTTTTCCCTGACATGCACCCAAACACCTTGCGATGACCCTTTCGCCCTGACACGTCTCATGCTCTCTGTTTTGATCAACTTTGCCCCTAGATCTAGCAAATAATAATACAGAACCACTTAAATTTGAATTTCAAACAAACAAAAGATACATTTTTACTATGTCTACGGCAATATATGGGACATATACTAAAAAATAAATCCATATTTATCTGAAATTCAAATTTAACTTGGTATTCTGTATTTCCATCTGGAAACCTTACCTTGGGGGCAGGGATCATGTCTCCTAATTTTCATATCTGCTGTTTAGCCCTGGTGTTGATAAAAAAAAATGTCAGAATTTGTGGACTAATAAATGAACGTCCTAGGGACAGTACTATGAATTCCAGATTTTCTGGGCAGCTCTGATTTTTAATTTTTTGAAAGGTCATGCACTCTGATTTTTAATTTGGAAAATACTACCTCTGTTATGGAGCAGTGTTCTCTGAAATGTGAAACAGGGGTGATTATTCAGGGCCCCTCTGGGCTGCCCCTCCTCCCTATCTGGTTTCAGGTAGGGGTGCTGCAGCCAGCCGTAGCTGATGAGCACATGCCCCCCCCCCCCCACACTTAGGCAAGAAGGAGCATTTTCCAAGAAAAGATGTGGAAATGGGTTCTTTTCCTTAGCAGCACGGGAGGCTTTTGCTCAGCACCAAATTTCCCTCCAAGCCATGGAGACAGGGAACTGGGAATGACCCGAGGTGCTGAGCAAGTCCGTGTCCTTTGTCACAGAGTTGTGGTGATTGCGTTTTCACTTCGCCTCTCTGTTGAACTCAACATGAATGTGTGAAAAGCAGGATGCCTACAGTGTAAGGTTGAAGATGATGAGCAATAGTGTGATGGTTATATAGACACGGAACTGATGTAGGAAACAAAGGCAAAAGAAATGTCACTTAAATTAAAATCTCCTTAGAGCTTGCAGCCCACTGACAGATCCCTGAAACACGCAGAGTGACCTTCCTCAAGGAACTCGTGGCTACCTTCGGGTCTTCATGTTTAAAAGGAACCTTATCTTGGTAGCAGCTGGCCCCTCAAGGTCCTGAAAGCCTCGCTTCCAGATTCCTTGGAGACTTGCGCTATCCCTAACCCCCACGAATTAAAAAGTATCCAGTGAGTCACCCCTCATTCCTTGATAGCTCTTTCTGCACACAGGTCCTGTCCCATGAATAGGGAAGGGGTGAAGCGACAGACAGGAGAGAGAAGAGCCCCCTGACTCCCTTGACTAAGCTCTGAAACTATTCCTGGCAGGTGGAGAGGCTGAGACAGAGCTAAACAAGAGATCAGGGAACCAACCAAGACGCCAGAAGAGTCTCAAGGTGACAAGCTTCCCAGTCAGTTCTCAGTAAGACTGCCACTAAAAGCTCTCAGTGACAGCCCATTCAGGACCCCTCTCAAGCTAGTGAGCTTTTCCTTTCCTTTGTGTTCTCACCTTCACATCCTAAACTTTCAGGTCACTTCACTCTTTTGTGTCCATGAGATTCATTCTTTGACTCCATGAGACAAGAAGCCTGCAATCCCGCAACAGAACAGAGTGCTCTTCTCTCTGGTCATGAAGAGCTCTAGTTTTCTGACTGAGGAACTTATTTTTAGGTGTCCGTTTTTGTAGCTCAATTCGACTGATTTTTGCTTACATTTAATTGTTTTTAATTATTTTAATTGAATGACTTGTTTTCATTGCAATTTTAGTTACATCTGTTATGGCAAGTGATACTTAGGATATGCAATTTGCTTTTTTTTTTTTAAATTTAAGTTAAAAATGAGTCAATTTAAAGAAAACCTATTAAGTAAGTAATAGGACAGGTGTTTCTCCTATGTGGCAAATATGAGTAAGTGGAGTTTCCCAAATAGTCATTTTCTCCCATCTTTAAAATACCCCTTCAGCTTTTGTCCCATTTCTCAGCTTCCCTTAGGGTAAAATGTCTTGACAGAAGTGTCTGGATAAAATAAGAATTATTTGTTTTTGCTTTCTCAAATTCTTCCATTCACTACTGTGTATTTTTTTAATTGATGTATAATATGTACAGAAAGATGCACAAATGCTAAGCCAATTATCCCAAAATGAATGTAATATGTTACCCCCACTCAGCCCTCCCAGGAGACCTTTGTCCCCGCTTCCCGGGAACAAACATCTCTGTCCTTCTCAAAGTTAACCGTGATCTGTCTTCTAACTGCATGTGTTAGTTTTGTCTTGCTTGTGAAGCTTATGTAACTAGAACCATGCAGTTTTTATTCTTTAGCACTTGTGGCCCAAGGTTACACACTCATCTCGAAGCTTCAATTCTTTGTTGTTGTTGTTTTTGTTTTTTAATTAGAAAAACCAAAGTTGAGAGAATGCAATCCCCTTTCCTGGTGAGCTTGGGATCAGTCCAACCATAGGTAAAAAATAGATGTGGCTTTTTTGACTTGAGTGGGAAGGTGTGACTCACAATAAGATGCCAGGATAATAGTTCCACAGTGGTAAGCTGATGGAGGACACTCTTTCACCAGAGAGCTCAAAGGAAC